TTTTTTACGCTGAGGGTGGTGACACACTGGCACAGGTTGCCCAGAGGTGGGGGCAACCCAAACTGTTCTATGATTTTATGATTTGTTAAAGTATATGTTCTGTGTCCAAGTAATTTAGTAGTAGAGCATATAATGATTTTCCCTGCTTTGGGACAAGTTGAACTGACAGAAAGGTTGCAGAAGTCAGTATGCTTCCCATGAAGCTTGGAAAAAAATATAAGCAACAACAAAGTGGAAGGACGCTGATTCTGTGATATGCACTTCACAATAACTTACTGTATGCAAAATACCTGGAAATTTTTTAGTCTGCTGCCTAAGCAACACACTGGGAAGTTTTCAGATTCTTTCATGAAGTTTACTCTCTGTATTACAGAATACAAATCATATTCTCTCCCCTTACCATTGCATAATTCTTCAGTGATTTTTTTTTTCCTAATGTGGTAAAGAAAGAAAAGAAAAATATCTGATGTATTTTTAGGTTTTTATTATAACTTAGTAACTGGGAGAGCAACAGGGGGAAGTCATGACTATGTGACCATTAACTATGTGACCATCTTGAACTCTGTTATCCAAATTCAGTGTGAGTTTAATAATCATTCGTTTAAGTAACAGTACATGTGTCACATCTATAATACCTCACATCTGAGCATTTCGGAGCAGATTACAAGTTTTGATGAACTGAATCTCACAGCATTCCTATAGGAGGGGAAAAAATACAAGCATAGAAATTATAAATCATTTGTTAGGGCTGCTCGGGAGATAAAGAAGGAGAGTCTAGATGTCATGGTTCAGGGAACCTACACACAAGTTAAAATTTTGAGATAAATGTATAAAACTTACAAAATTACTATATTATTGAACTCTTTCATATATCTTGTGTTGACCTTAAGCTGTGAAAGATGTGCTGTCCATCTCCTAAACAAAGGATAGCACAGGGTAATGGAGGATCATTTTATGCTGCTAGCTCCTTTTCATGTGAGAGTATGTTAGGACAGAGCTATGGCTGAAGCCCAGGGAAGTCAGCATAATTAAATTTGTCTGCAGAACAAAGGGTTATCAACAAAGACATCTTACCAGAAATAGAAAGAAGAGGTATTTGGGGAGGAAAGTTGGAGAGTAGAGTCAAACTGAGATACATTTTGTAGCCAAGAAGTCTGAATTTTAATGGGGATCAATGAGGGAAGGTGGACATGAGACCTACATGAACACTACAAATGTATCTGCTCAGGAGCGTAATCCCTGCTCCCCAAACCAGACCATTGAGAATAGTAGCTTTTAGCTATACCCATGCTGTTCAGCAATTGGCCTGGCCCTAAGTCATAATCATATATATTCTTCTCCCTGTTCAAAGTTTCTGAAATAATGCAAGGATCATACAGCATGCTTGGATTGTGGGTTTTTATGACAACTGTTACATGTTGCATGGTGTGAGTGTAAGGGGTAACCCTAATGAAAAGGGTACCCAGGTGTAAGGGGTGAGTCCTGCTCCAGAGTGCTAGAAAAGGGTACGAGGACTATGTGGCAGAGTGGTGCAGTCTTGTTCATGTTACCTACTTGGAAGATTCCTTGGAGCAGACTCTCCCCAGGGGCATATATGGGTTATGATTTGGAAGGAGTTAGTTCACTCCAGAGAAGAGCATAGGGCTGGAGTGACAGCTACACAGGGTGGACAGTCAAGGCTGAAGCCTGGAATGAACTGGGGAGCTGGGTTATTTGATGTCAATATTGTGTAGCTGCTCAAGAGGGATATAGAGAAAAAATAAATCCTTGATTTGGGGAAGAAACAACATGCTGTATATGAGATCCTGGCTTCAGCTGATTCAAACTCCAAAAAACACTTTGAGTCGTGAAAAAATTAAGGCATCTCGCATCTTTACTTTTCCTTTGTTCTTTTTAATTCTTTTGTTAAAGTACAGGCTTCTCTGAGGAACCTTGAACAAGCTGGAGGTACAGATTTACTGAGAGTGAGATGCAAGGAGACTAAAAGGGGATTCAGAAGTCTACAGGATTGCCCACCATGTGTTAAGCAACAATTGCTTTGGAGTACATGGTCACGTATTATTTGATGTGGTTACAGATAGGCAATTCCTGCCGACAGTGAGATGAGGGATGCATCCAGGCCTAGCTCATCATCTGTTTGTTTCTCTTCTTGTATGTCTTTGAAGATGTGGATTGTGGATGAGAATAGTTGCAAGATGAACTGTAGGAAAAGTTATATCTGAGGTCTTGTGGGCAACAGGAGATGGGAACTGGTTTAGGAGTGTAAGGCAGTTGTCTGGTAGGGTGTGTCATTACAAAGGGGTTAACAGAGAGCCAAAGAATCGTACATATACCATAGAGGGTAAGGATGCTATTCCCATCAAGAGGATCTCATCAGGTGAGCCTGGTGCCAGAGGACTCCAACACCCAGAAAGTGTCCCACTGGCTGAGGTGTTTCACGCTGCATTGCTTGCTTCTCATCCTGCCTGCCAGCCACTGGGATTACTTTGTACAAGATCGGAGTTGAATGCTGTCGTGCTGAACTTGGAGAGGCATGTGTGGGGGACGGGAGCAGAGAGGGAGTGGGAATGTGGTGTGCAGATGTGTGAAGGTGAGAGTAAAGTTTATCAGCTACTGGTTCCAGAGGGTGGTGGGCTTTTCCTTTTTTCTTTTCCCAGCTCTGCTGGTGAAGTCATCCATTGAACAACCTCAATTATCCATCCATACAAGATAAAAGTACCGGAGTACTATGTTAGGGTGTGAATACTTTTAAATATTTTAAAATATAACAATTAAACATAGTCCTTGCCCTTTTGGCCAGCTGCCCTCAGAGTAGCCTCTATTAAAAAGTCCTTGAGACCCCAAAGGCAGTTTCCTTGTGTTGCATAATATTTTTCTTTTGTTTCCAGTAAACCAGGTTTGAACTGGCAAGTTTCTGTGAAGTCCTGTAGCCAATTTAATATTTAAAACAGACCTGTTAAGTTATGCTGGTTTCAGGAATGTCTTGAGCCATCCTCCCTCTGCTAACCTGCTGTGCGGACTCAGTGCCTGAGAAGGAGTTGACAGGCCATGGGGACAGGGGAGTGTTCCGCGACTCTGCAGAAAGGCAGGCTAGTAAAAGGTCATAAGGGAAAGAGTGATGCAGCTAAGGTTTGTGTTGCAGTATCAGTCAACTAATTTAAAAAAAAAAAAAAAAAAAGAAGAAAGAGAACAGAATTAGTTGAAGGCACAGCAGCTGGTGACCTAAAATGGTAATCTGCACTAAACACCTTCCTTCGGTAATGTCTGTGCATATGGTTTTCAGCCCACTTTGGGTAGAAACTTGTAGAAAAAGGCTCTTAGAAGTTAAAACTGATACTCTTTTTTGGAAATAATCATCCTGACATTCTCATTAGAAAGACCAAGAAGAAACTGCAAGACAGCTGTTCTAGAACCCTAAGAGCTATGGGACAGCATGCTTTGCTAGTGCTGTACCTGTACTGTAGAAAGTTTATTACTCTTCATATTGCTCTCTTCACAAGCCAGAAGTTACATTAGTGTGGTTGCTGGATTTCCATGGACATATAATTCCAGGTGCATATATCAGAGTGATGATGTTCTTATATTTTGCTGCTGTTGTGTGCTTATGTGCTCAGCTTCCAGGTGCTGAATTCTAGTTTGGTTTTACTTATGCTGTACTGGTGAACTTTATATAGCTTGGTCTCTGCTTGCCTGTACCTTTATTTAAAAAGTGTATAAATTCATTAAATTGCCCTACATACAATTAAAAATATAAAGATTGCATTTCTTTTTATTCACTTGCCAGTGCACATGTATGAGAATGAGTGCACTTTCAGAACCTTCCTTTCAAATCATGTAATATTGATGTAATACTTGTAATCATGCAGTAGATAAGTAACACTTTAGAGGGAAGAGGACCTCCACCCAAAATAATTTCCAAATGAACTTCAAGTGTAATTTATCTTCTTATTTTGCAGCTAGCTATGGACCAAATCCAATTTGCAAAGGCTGTTTATCTTGTTCAAAGGATAATGGGTGCATCAGATGCCAACACAAGTTATTCTTCTTCCTACGAAGAGAAGGAATGAGACAATATGGTGAATGCTTGCATTCCTGCCCGTCAGGGTACTACGGACTCCGAACGCCAGATATGAACAGATGTTCAAGTGAGTTTTGTTTTTTGGTTTTTTTTTTGAACACTTACATTCACTTTTATAGGAAGGCCATAATTCACGCTCAGTTTTTAAGATGATATGTTGTGGAACATGATGATATTTTCACAGATGTCTCAAGATCATCATAAAACTTCTTTGCTAAAGAACATTCCAGCTCATTCCAAGATATGTAACTTTCAGATTAAATAGTTGATGCGTTCACCTAGTTTTTATTGTTAGTTTTATTGTTATTATTGCTTTAGTTAGAAGGAAAATTTAGGAAAGAATGGTGATTTAGGCAGATATTCCTAGTTTTAACAAACAAATTCCCATTATATGAAAATAAAAAGGATTAAGCATTAATTTAACTAGTACCTCATGTAGGTACTAGTCAGTATATGCTCTGATATATGGGTGGGCTTCTTGTCATGCTTTGTGTTCCCACACAAATTGCAGGTGACCAGACACCTCACACCAGACATGCTTTAATATGTAAGTGTTGTTATTTTAATAAAACAGATGTACTATTAAAAACAAACAAACAACCTTTCACTTTTAGTACTGCATTTTATTTGGAAATTTACAACCTGCTAATGTGCAACAAGATTCCCTGTTTGCATGTTTGTGCCTAGAAGCACAACTGTTAAAAACAATGAGTGCTCTGGTATCTCCACGTTATTTCACCGCTGTCTGGCAGTTGTGCTGATATTGATTTTTCCATATGCTCATAGGTGGAGTATTACCCATATGGATTATTAATCATTGCTATTACCTCGAATTCGTATTTATGGGGGGTTTTTTTGTGTGTGTGTCATAGCCTAACCAGAATTATGTCGCCGAACCTAAGAACGTGAAGTGAGAAATAGCTTTTCTTTTCTTCCTGGAATAATCAAGTGTCTGTTAAATGCTAAATGCCCAGTACTGCGGCATGTCACTGGGACGCACCGCGTTGTGAGAAAGCGGGTGCTGGCTTTCACATCACACATAATCTTGAGACCCACGTGAGGTCACTCTGTGGCAGTCCGGGCTGGAGGGGGAGCACTCACGGCCGTGCTTGGACCCGTCCCAGCCTGTGTAATGATGTCCCACCTCTTTCTCCCCATTCCCCCCGCAGGCTCTGTGGATATGGTATTCTTCACGTTGTGTTCCCAACTGCTGTGTAATATTGCTGAGTGCTGCCTAATCTGTACCAGGTGGCTAGGTTTTGATGAAAAATTAAATGAGACCAGTATATGGTTTACGTATGCCTTCTATAAAGTACTTTAGGATCTTGGCCTTAATTTTCATAACACGTTTGTGAATTCAGCAACTCATCCACTTTAAACCTTTCAAAACTGGGCTGTAAAAACTTGCCCATGTAAAAATGTTTTTGAATATAGTTACAGTTTTGGGAAATAGATGAATATATCTATATTAGCCTGTACTGCGCTTGTGAGATAGGAAAAGTAGTCTGCACTGGCAGTCTTTCTTTACTTTCTTAAAAAGAAAAAAAAGTTATTTGTGGAAGGTGGATGGTGAATCCACTATAACTTTGTATCATTTTTACCACTTACAGAAAGTGGCCTTTTTCCCTGAATTACAGGATTGGTTTTGAAAAGCATAAATGCGAGTTGTGTCCAACCCATATCGGCATGTGTTGAGCACTGGGTATTTAACTCACCCTCATGCCTTTGACAGTCTCCCCCTGTGAGAATAATGATGCATTTACTGACCAGTCCTGGTTCCCCTCCAATGATTTTTTCATTGTATATTTTTATTTTAGTGTAACTGCCAACTAGTGTATTTATAAATCACATCTTCATTTTTGTTCTTCGTTTAGTGATCTTGCAGGGCACATACATTGTATTGTGGACACCCAGACATTTTGTGAATTGAAGTTGAGTTAAAATAAACATTCTTAAAAAATAGAATAGGTTTCTTCCTACTTGATGTTAGATACTTTTAGGTACGCTTAGTTACAGAGTCCATTGCTCAGATAGTATTATCTCAGCTAAAAATAATAAAAATTCTGGCTATATTAAAATCCTTCTGGGAGTTACAGAGCTTGAATTACATAAGTTGAAATGATTTCTGCCCTATTAATATCTTTATAGGCACAAAATCTGTTCAACATTTTATTACACAAACACTTGCCCATTTTTGTTAGAGAAGCTATAGAAAATGTTTTTATGGAAAATGTTGACATGATTTTAAAAGCCAAACATAGTTAGTGCCAAATGTAACACAATAAATACCACAGCCAAGTGCAGCAGCTCTAAAATGATGGAAATTTTGAATTTCAAGACTAATTTTCTTTTCTACATGTAAGCAGTATGTGTGTCTTGAATTTGCTAAGTGATTCTAGACTGGTTTTCTAGTAACAGTGAATCATATAATTTTGAGACTGCTTGTCTCTTGAAATTGATGTAGAGTTTCCTGCTGGAGGTGATTTTCCACCTGAACACTGTGGTATGAGAATGCAGTACATTTGGACACAAAATTGGAAAGTGTTGAGTCTCTTCCGTAGAAGAATGAGAAGAGCTACACTTTGTTAATTTTCCAAGAAATTTTAATAGTTAATGACTTTGAACTGAATTTCTCCATTAAGGAATAATCTCTTGAGAAAAAAACAAAACTGAATTAAAGAGTAAGATGAAATCTGTCACCTGGGTGGTTGGTTTAACATTGGTCTGATTAATGGATCAAGCCTATCTTGAACCTTTTAACTTAGTCTGTATCCATAGTAACCTCTACAATTTCAGGGGGAGGAAGCACTCAGAGTTTAGAAATTATAGCTCCCTTCATCTTTGGTTGCTTACTCCATTTGTTTAGGTTCACCTTCTTTCTCACAGGAGGGCCTGACATTGCTAAAACTGTAATTTCCTCTTCCATGCACCTTAAGTAAAAACAAGATAAAGAGCAGCTTTTAAACAAATTAAGCATTTATTAAATGTGTAGTTAATTCACTGTATTAAGAAAGGTAATTTTTTTTTTAACTTTGTTACAAAATAGCAATACATCATTAATATATCATAGCTTGACTATTTATTATGTAGTATAGAAGAGCATGTGACCTTCTGAGACTGTTGTAGCCAGTGCAATTGTAACTGTCTGTCAGAGGGTTCACTTACCACAGGGGCAGCACTATTTGCTTTAAATAAAATAGTTTTTCTGACTTTTTAGAAATAGTTTTCATTACTTTTGTGGGGTTTTTTTCCTTCAAATATATGGCTTTATCTTTTAAAAACAAGCTTAATATAGCATTTGGGATTTTGAAAATGAAGTTGGATGGCCAGAAATTGAGGTCTACCTATCATTATTTTATAGGCATTTAATTTTTTCCTTATCTCTTCCATGCTCTTCTCCTCCTTCAAATGGATTTGGATTTTTTTTTTAATTTGGAATTTTTTGATTTTTGGCCTTACTTTGTATTTTGATGGAAGAGTTTTGTTCCATCTGTCTGGCAACAAAAATCATCATAGTGCTTTGAATTAAGATTTATTAAATCTGTAGTCAGTTTAGATTTAATAGGGCAATTGTATATTTGTAAAGTACTAATTGAAAACGCTGTGGTTTGGCATTTATTTAAAAGATTCCGACTAATAATGAATCCAGAATAGAACATACTGGAAATGTATCTTTGTTTATTAAATGAATTTATTTAAAAAAAAAAAATCCTCACTATAGTATTTTATAATTAGGATGTTGTATTCCAAGCATTGCTCTCCATGAAATGGTAGACCTGTGGTAAACTTCAGGACCTGTTATGGTCAAGTGACTTCTTCATTCTCTAGCACTCATGCTCAGCCCCTGCCAAAGTTGTAGCTTAAAAATCTTTATTTGTATAATAATAATAAACCTGCAATTACCTAAGCCACATCTGCTTAGGAGGTTAAATAGCTAGCTATTAATAGATACTCTCTTGTAGGCTAAAGCTCTTTTGCTTATGATTTTCCTCCTTTCCTTGCTGTCTCCTCAGTGACTTTCCTGAAAGTTTTGGTCTCTCTTCTCTTTCCATTGGTTGTTCAACTGATACTCCATCCACTATAAGAGCTGCTCACATCATAGCTTTCTTCAGCATCTTGCCTTTGTCTGCTGCTACTGTTAACACTAGCACAGTCTTTGTCCCTTGTGCCCTTGTGTCCTCTAGGTGAGTTATAAAATGTGTAGTCTGGGTTTTTGAAGTCTCTCCTGGCTCAGGAAATTCTGGAGAGGATTAGCACAGAAGGTGGTGCTGGTCGATGACAGATTGGCGTGGAGTGCCAATGGACACGTCAGGTTGGTGGCATGAAGTTAAGTCTGTAGCACCAATGTTGTTTTACTGAGCAGCAGAGGGATGGGAGCAGGAGTTGGAAAGAGTGAGTGTGATGGGCATGGGGACAGTCTGAGGATAGGTGAAGTTAGGAGGTTCTGGGGTAGGAGAGGCAGAGGGATCTGAGGCAAGAATAGTAGGGCACTGTGAGTCAGAGCTCAGTGTGAAAGACCAAAGTATTAGGTGCTTTGGACCAAGCTACAGTTGTCACTCCCCAGGATAACCAACCTCACAAGTTACGGGCCCAGAGGCTTCTCTCTCATAGAAAGACCGAGTTTGACCTTCAAAAGGAAAACGCTAACTGTAGTGAATCATCATCTATTACTGTGACTTCTTAAACACAAGGGGATGCCTCAAGCAAGGACCCAATTTCAGTGCAAAGACTACCAAGCCCTTCAATTTAGGAATGCCATGTTTCCTTCCCCAGCTTCAGTCTGCAGCTTCCCTTTGCAAAATGTGATCATTATCTCTCTGTCTCAAAGGTGTTCAGTACAGTTTAGTACAGTTCTCTTTCTTGTGCTGGTGGTTGCTGCTTTCCACTCATGCAGATCCCCTCATGTGTTCTCACTTCCCTTTCCCATACTCAACTGCTCTTCACTGGTGCCTGCGTTTCATGCGGAGCAGAACTTGCTGTGAATCGTTATTGTTATTAACATTACTAGGAATTGACCAGCTGTCTTTTCAGTACTACGTGTACTACAAAATATCTTTGTTGTGAAGGGAGTTATGGATGGGTAGTAAATCACATTGATTATGTTTAGAAAAGGTCAATGTGACAATGGAAATGCTACAGAATATGGACATTTCACAAAGGCAAAATAAGGCTCATGTAAAATTTCCAAGATTATGCATATCAGTAAAAATACTTTACAAATGAGTACCTACTTTTTACAGTTGAGATAGACATCTTTTGACCTTAAAATTCATCATATTGCACTTAGTATGAGAAACTAATATAGTAAACCTTCTTCTTGTTAAGGTATGTTAAAATATGAAGCACATGCATCTCAATATGGAGCATTTTATGCTTTATTTTGAACTTCAAAGGCATTATATTTCCCTACAGTTCAGCTTATTCTGCATCACCTTATAACCTGGTGATAAATTTACTATGGAAGGATAGTATTTGTTTTGGTAACATTATGCTCTCTGTAATTATAGTACAGAAAGAAGATGTTTACAGGAGCACATACTCATTTTTACAGTAACAGGCATATGCATCTGAGTTTAAATTTAATTCAACATCTGAATTTGTATTTTGAAATCCTGGGCTTTTGATTCCTTCTCTAAAATGTAAGTCTGTCAATTCTTTAATGCTTATTTTAAAAGAAGAATGAGTAGGAGTGGCTTATCATGACTGTCAGGAAGCCAAAGCTGGTCACGAAAATCTTTTAATATCACTGTGGTTCATCTGCTTAAAATGTTTCTCTTAATTTGGGCATGAATCCAGGCTTTCTCCTTCCAGAGTTCTTTAATGCACTATTTATGTAGTTTTCTATAAATATTGTAAGTTTCATCCACGTCAATCAGATTTGGGTTTTTATGATATTCAGGTAAATGTCAGAGGAACATTTGGGTCAATATAAATGAGATTATAAAGCCTAAATACAAATTTTTTATTGCTGGCTAGCTAAATGCACTTCTTATAGATCAAATTGTTCACCATAACCTTGACTGAAACATGGCTCGTAGCTATTACTTTTTTTAAAAATCTGGTGTATGTGCAAACACACTTCAGAAGAAAATTATTTCTGAAGTGCCATGGGGTGCTAGAGCTCACTGAAAATTAAGGAAAAGGGAACTCTGGCTCCTAAGTCCTGTACATAACTTCTCTTTTGCCACTCTGTTTCAGTAAGCAAAGTCAAAGATGTTTTACATGTCTGTCTTCGGATTCTTTTCTGACAATGACCTTTTTAAAGGGAGATATTATGATCCTTTTTCTTTTGCTCCTCTGTAGAACCAAAGAATTTGGTCCTTCAGCTTGGTAGGTTTCCTGGCCATTGACTGAGGAGTGGCACATTATTAGCTCATGGAGTTATGTTTCTTTCTTGAGCATATTCTGTAACTGCTCGCAAGTATGGAGGCACTTTTACGTACTATAATCTAACCTTGTGCTCTACTCAAATGTCAGTCATTCAAGTTCTTACTCTCCTGTCAGCCTAAATTAAGAGATTGCACAGTGTCAATAGAGTTTCCATTGGAGAAGTTATATATCTTGTCCCATAAATCAACATTTCGGAGCTCTGTCGAAGGGATAAGTTTTTGTTTCGCTTTGTTTTGTCTGAACGCTGAAGATACTTGAGCAAAGCACTTCTGTCTAATTTCAGCCCAGCTTAGCTTGACCAGACAAAGTAGTGACTTTTCTTCCACCCTTTCCCCTGGAAGGTGAAGTCATGGAGCTGTGAATTTATAGCCACTCCTGTGACAGCTTGTGATTGAAAATAGACTGCTAGAAAGTTAGCTTTTCTAACTTTTGGAGTACTGCTCTTCTTTAATTCTTTAGTTTATTTAAATTTTATTAAAAAAATCCCTGCAAGACTTAGAGCTTCACCAGCACCCTTCATGATTTGAAACAGAGTATATGGAGGATGTCAAAAAGGAGTAGTTGTCAATCCCAGTTGATCTTCAGCTACAGTGTGGTTTATTACTGAGTTAAATTATCATTATGATTAGCACCCAGTAACCCCAAGCATTGTACTGAGTATCATTCTGGTGAATTAATGTTTTAATTTCAGAATTCTTAAAGTATTCCTAATACTTTGTCAGTGTTTTCCCCCAACTAATTTATCTGAAAATAAAAAACTGTATCAAAAAACTGAAAATAAACTGCCTTGGTGGAAAACTCCACCCAACCTTAACCCAGGAGCCCCTACTAATGCTTCCAAAATATAATTATCATGACAAGGACTCTACTGTGATACAAAAGAAAACTGGCATAGAAGGCAAAGCAAAAGATATAAATAGGTTGGGAATTTTGAAATATGATTAAGAAACTGAAAGAAGATTGATTCATTTGTTTAATGTTTAAATATGGGATATTCACATATGTACTGTTAAATAGCAATAGTTTTATGGAGGATATCCACAGCGTAAGGTGAGGCAGGCTTTCGCCTGCTAAGCGTGTTTATATGATATTAAAAGGCAACTTGTACTGAAGGTTATTCATTTAATCCCTCTTCCATCCAAAAAAGTTCAAATGGAGTAAACTTTAAACATGTTACTCCTCAACATGTTTTGAAAGCAATAGTTAAAATGTTACTTCAAAAATATACTTACGTCACTTGGATGTGAGGGAGGGTCACATTATGCTAATTTTTCTTTTAATGTTCTGTTCTGCACCTCATCATTGGACTAAATGATTTGGAAAAACCTTGACGTCTTTTCAAACTGTCTTGTGTGGGTAGGCAAGAGGCAAATGTTTTTTTCTGAATATTTAAACACACTGAATGTTTGATTCAAGCATTGCAATTAATAAAATACTTGCAGTACATCTTGAGTGTAACAAAGGAGATTTGCAATTAACTATTGCAGTACATCTCCAGAGCAGCTCACCTTATAATTTTGCCTTGCAGACACATTAATCTGGGGAAGTGATTTTGCAGGGTCATTGTATAAGCATTGATCTCCTGTTCTTTGGAGATTGGTTCAAACCTCATGAAAAAGAAATTATCATTCTTGGGAGTTCCCTATAAACTAAACTGTGGATAAGAAGCCCAACTTGTGCTGCTTGTATGAACACAAGTTCTAAAAGCCCCTTTGAGAGATGCTGGAGAGATAGAGTTGGTAGCATGCAGATTATGTGTGGTTGTGTCTAAACAGAGCCTGCAGAGCTTCCCTTTGGCAGTGGAAGACTTCAAACTGATGTTCGCATTCCTTCTAACCAAAGAAAGGTGTACCAGCATTTGAAATATTTTTCATGTGATCTGCCTAATTTATTGTCCAATGCCACAAGAAATCTGATCTAAAAAGCCTCATATTTCCCTAATTGCTAACAAAGAATAATTTCCCATCACCACCTAGTTGAAGTGTTATGGTTTGCCCTACTTTGGCCTGCTGAAGCTCAAGAATAAATATTACAATCTGTTTTATGAAGATTGGCTAAATTTGAAGTGTTGTTAGGGGATATTTACCAATAGCTATTTCAGAAGTCCTTATGGTTTGTGATTTTTTTTTCTTTAGAAAATAATGAAGAATAAATGAATAAGTGACCGAAAAGATTAGTATATTGTTGCATGACATGAATAACAAATGCTTCCTGCTGTGACTTCAGATAGCTGAAGACAGGATACAGTTAATGTAGTTTATATAAATTATGTATGTTAGCTGAAGGATTAGATTATTTAAATTAATTTTAAAGTGTTCGTTACTGTTCCAAATATAATGGCTTTTACTTTTTAATCTTTGGAACATTTTTCCCTGGCATTTTTTTGTAGGTATGTATGACTGACTTTCATAAGCCTCCATGTAAGTATGTCTGTTTTTCAGGTGTGCATATGATTGTTGAGATCTAATTCACTTTCAAGTTGCCATGTTTTAATATGGAATAAGATGTTTCTGAATAGTCTGCTTCCGAGTCTGTAATCTATTGTGGATGATATTTCTCTTAAATTTTCAGAGAAATGCAGTATTTCAAAAGACAATAGTATTTTTTTTAATTATTGATTATAGCTTTGTCTTTTAGTCATTTAATAATGGTTATTTTTTTATGGATTAACTGCCTTAATAATAGAGAGGAGTTATATCCAGAAAAATTGAGGCTTTTTGCATGGTAGCACATGCGTACGTGTAGATAAGGACATCAGACATAATACATCAAAGCCTTCATTCAGCTATTTATAGGGTCAACTCATGGAAAAAAAATGTATCCTGCTTGCAATGACAAATAGTAAACTGAAGACAGTACATATAATACATGCATACTTCCCAAAATAATTTGTTGCATCTTAGTTTACTCAAAATTACTTAAACACAAAAATAATTTACATTGAATGTTTTTCCTCCAAAAAGATGTAATTAACTCAAATATCACTTAACTAGAGGTTTTATCTACAGATTTGATTAAAAAAAAAGGATTAAAAGGATGTATGGGAAAATGTGGTAAATAATTACAGTTAACTGTAATTTTTCTTATAGAGCAGATAGATTTCAGGATGACAGTATTCCTCATTATAGCACTTCTGGTTTTGCTATTTTATTGCTTTACAAGTCCTTTCATTTTCAGTCTTACCCTAACTTAGCTGTCTCATTGTTCCTTATGATCCTTTTGATTCAGGATGCAGAATAGAAAACTGTGACTCCTGCTTTAGCAGAGACTTTTGTACCAAATGCAAAACTGGCTTCTACTCGCACAGAGGCCGCTGCTTCCGAGGATGCCCCCCAGGATTTGCAGCCTTGGAAGAGCTTATGGAATGTGTGGGTGAGTCTTCTAGCACAACAATGCTGCTGAAACAGCTCTTTTGCCAGGTGGACAGATTCAAATACTTATGACACTATTTTTAAGCTGGTGCTTAGTATTTTCTATCAAGAAATATTCACTAATGGATTGTGTTTGGAACTCTTTACCCCTAATAATAACAATAAATAACAACAACAATAATAATAATAGTTTTTTTCAAACTTTGAAATACTGCGTTATCGGGAATGTCACTCTGTTATGCATCAGAAAGTTCTGTCCTCTTAACTGTAAATCACCTTGTATGAGGATTTATAACTCAGAATTTGTAAGATTTCAGGAAGGCCAGTTTTTGCATTAGAACTTTAAGTCAATGATGTACTCGTTGGACTCTTGCCCTCATAAAACTACCTTCTCCTTTTGCCTTTTACCAAGGCCAGAAACTAGGGGCAGGGCAGATTGAATTCCTGTAGCATCTGGGCTTCAAATTCAATTGTATTTTCTCTGCAGCTCCCCCCTTTTCCATTAGCAAGTAACAAATATAAACCACCAAATAAGTGTTTTTAGTAGAAATCTACTTTGTAACTCTGAGCCAGCATTGGCAGTTCTCACAATATTTCTCAAGTCTCACAATTTGGTGTTTTATCTTGAAGCCTAGGGATTGTGTCAGAACAGACTCTTTCTTTCAAGAGTATTCCTTGCATTTCATGATGGAGAGGACCTGGAAATGTGAACTCTTGAGCTTTGCAAATCCAGGTGACAACCAAATAGGATTTATTTATTAAAAAGAGAAAAATTTAAATCAATTTCATGATTTAAGGAGGGTTTTTGAACATTTGGGACTGACATGATGTCTATACATTCAGATTGATAGTCTGATGGTTTTATGCTCAGGTTGATGCTGGCTAAAAAGATTCTTTCAGGTTCTGTAAGAGATTTTCATTTTGTTTCTAAGTTTTTGCCTGTTAACAGTAAAACTTTCAAGTGCTGCTTTCTAATAGTGTGTTCTAAATTAAAAAAAAAAGAAAACAAAGAAAAAAAAAAGAAAACAAAAAAAAAAAACCCAGAAGAATTGTTCACTCATGTTTTCTTTTGCTTTATCAGAAGGCTGTGAAGTGGGTCAGTGGAGTGAGTGGGGAACTTGCAGCAGAAATAACAAAACATGTGGATTTAAGTGGGGCCTGGAAACGAGAACAAGACAAATTGTGAAGAAGCCAGTGAAAGACACAATACCGTGCCCAACCATTGCAGAATCCAGACGGTGTAAAATGGCCATGAGGCATTGTCCAGGAGGTAAGCGTAGTCATGCCACAAAAATCTTTATGAGCTTTCCTTAACTGAAATCCTATTTCTAACTTGAAAAAAGAGCTATTTCATCCCAGCTGAAGGGGAAATCCTGTCTCTGCTCTGCCAGCGGAGGCTAAAAGGCAGCAGTACTACGGCAATCCTAATTTGTGCAGCAAGACTCCAGGGAAAGGCTCAGTGTGGGAGTGATCAGTCTTTCAGTAGACTGTGAAACTTTTTTCTGGTGTGGTACTGAGGCTTTTTCAAAGAGGTGCCTCGTGGAAGAACCATAACAGGTTGCAGTTTGAGCTTCAGCTTGAAAACGATGGAATAACTAATTGCTCTGCACATGGCAGGAAAGATTATGATTCTAAACCTCTCTGCAGGTGGCACATCCAGTGCTGGTGTGATGGGTATTTAAATTATATGAAATTAGTTACATATGGCATTGTTAGCTGGCGCTATCAGCTGGAATGTGTTACTTGTTCTGAATATTGTAGATCAGGGCCAAACTATGACAGATGTGATACAAGCCGAATAGTGATAGATATCAAGCTTTTCAGCATGAGACCAACTTATGGCAATTACCACAAGTAGATAAAGAAATTTGATTATTTCTTTTATCATGGTGTTCTAAGACTTACGTAGTGATGCTGATTTTAAAAAGGAAATAGAGTTTCAAATTTGTGTTTGGTTTTGTAGACCCCAAAGCAGAGGCATGTCACTGGTAGAGAGGAGGTTTTGTTATCTTTTAAATTGAAATGATTAACCTTTCACTTGAGCAGACTGAACACTTACAGAGTTTTCAGAATTTGTAGGAGAGGTGGGTGATCAACAGGTGATAAAGATGCCATTCCTTTTGGAGTCATAGGATTAAAGAAAGATTCAGGCTTGAGAGGACTTCAAGAGATCTCTAGTCTAACCTCCTGCTGCAAGCTGGGTCAACTGTGAGATCAGACAAATAAAAAGGAATAAAGGGTTGCAGAGTCCTGAGAAAAGCCATAACTTGATGAATAAGCTAAAACTGAAATAATCTCAGCATAGGTACATAAATAAGTTTGCTTTGTGTTCTGGGGTTGTTGAATATGTCTCTTGGCTTGAACATACTGCCCACCAGTATGTGTGAAAATTATACATAAAGTTTTAGCTTACAGACTAAATCTGTGCAAGCTTCATTTTTGTCTCTAGGACTCTGCCAAAATCTGGAAGAGAATATAAAGTTGGTTCTCTGTTATCCAGGTTAACTGAGTCTATTACGCACTCTTCCTCCCTGTCCCACTCCCTATACTCATACACATGTGCATGCACGCATAGTGCATAGTCATAGTGGTACCGGGGTGCATTGTACAGCACAGTTAATCTGCAACCTAAATAAACTTCTCAAAGATGTTAAAGAGTGGAATCTACAAAATGGAAGGAAGAAGAAAAGGTAAAAATCAAGGCTGATTTGGGTTGCCATGGTATGTGTCTCATGGTATCTTTGAATGCAAGTCAGCTGCATCTACGTCAAGGTAGCTACACTTACTAGTGCTTGCAGCCTGCTGAGGTGTATGGGCTGTTCCAGTTACTTCTAACAAACTCTGAAGCCCAAATGGGGTTAGTGATCAGATCAACTGGGGAAATGTTTTACTGCTAAAATGGAAGGAAGAAAAAAGAACCTGTGTGAAGTTTTACAAAATCTCCAATAAATATTTTCTTTTTTTGCCGTTCAGATGCATGAAGTTTAGCTTGTAGTGGAAAATTTGAGAAAATTGCAGAATATTTTCAATGCAACTCCATGTGGTAGAGATTTAGTCATTTATGTACCCAATGTGTATAGAGGGAGGTATTTCATAGATGCAATGTCCAGCTTCTGTATAAACTCCTGGCAAGTAGAAAGTTACAGGTGTGGGTTTAGTCTTGATAATTTAGTTAGGACACAAATTATTCAAATTGTGGTAAATAGTTTGAGAAGTGTGCTTAAGTGGACCACAATATTCATGAATGTTGTAGCATGCTCATGTAACTGTGGTAATCTGGAGCTATGGAACTTTCATACCTTTTTGTAGCAGGTTCTCTTAGGTGGTTTCAAATTTTCTTCTCCAGCAATTCAGGTCATTGATTAAAGATTTACCTCTCAAATTTTATCTTTTCAAAGGCACAGTGATGGGCTTTCCCAAGAGTTAGGAAATTTATTACCTAGTCTGTATAAAGATCTTTGACCAAATCTCTGCATTTTTTTCACTACATATCAGGAAAGTTGTTGCTACAAATACAAATTCAGTGTGAAAGGCTTGTAGTACTCCTTCATAACCATGGGCTCCAGTAAAACCTAAAGATTACAGTCCTCTCCTGTCCTCTCATGGTGCAGAATTCCCTGCCTGTGTTTTCAGAGATAAAAATAAATATGTGCAAAACTGTAGGTTTGAACTCGCCGCACTGAATGCTGATGCTTAATACTGCTTCTGTGCAATCATATAAAACACTGGCCAGAGTATAAACTCCTTTCTCTCTCCTAAGAAACTCCTGGGAGGGAGTGTGTTAGTGGTGTTTTAAGCGCCTGGGGTAAGTCTTCCCCAGGCCTGGTTATCTCTGCAGGTGAGCAAGCCTGTTCGAAACTCCTGCTTCGTAGTATGTTTTAATTATGATTATATACATGACTGGTCTAAGATCCTGTTCCTTTATCATATTTAATTTAGTTAGCAGGTTGCCCCATTCGACACTCGAAATGTTTCTTTGCTTACTTACTCCCTGTGAAGTAGCAGGAGGCAGAGACACTGGTTACAGGGAAGCTGAAATTGAGCAGATCCTGGCTGTTAAGGAGGAGATTCTGTGTTTTTAAAAATATGATGTTTTCCTAATGTTAGAAATTTTGTAATTGAACTTTTAAACTGAGGAAATAAGAGAAAAATGTAAGGTTAGCACTACTGGGGGACTGAAGAACCATAATCCCCGTAAATGTCAGTTGAGAGGCTGTTAATAAATCCTTTCTTCCTAATGTTCTCAGTACATAAACTCACACAAATGTGTAGGATAAATATTGGATTATACGGCTAAGATGGCTGTAGATTGTGATGGATTAAATTGAGCACAGGAAGTAAGGATATTTTTGGTAGAACAGGGTCAAATAAAGTGCTTTTGACACATGCTTTCTACTTCTGTACATTTTACAGTTACTATTTATGGTCCACATTACAGAAAAACTTCCGAAACAGGTTTTTACATGTTTGCAGAAGAACTGGTGTTAAATTCAGTTTTCCTGCTAAGTACTTCAGTTTCATATTTATCAAGGATTGAGATGTTACCCATCTGGCCATATGGCTGTGGTACAAATTTAGCTGATGAAGAACTCTATCACTTTCCCAGTAATTGCAGAGTTGTACAGATACAAGCTGGAATGCAAGTGAAAGATGATTTTGCTTCTTTCCTACTGAAGCCAGCAACATAAGAGGATACTCTACTTGATTTCAAATATGTTACTCAGTGGTATTTTCTTATTGTCAGTACTAATTGATTTAACTGTTACTACCAGATGGGAATGTCGCATTTGTGTGTCTGTTCATGTTATGTATGTTACCCTGTGGCTTGGGTGTAACGTGACTCATACTATGAGAGGTTAGACTTAGAAGAAGATGACTTGGATTGTTCAGACCACCTCCTACCTGTGCTGGTCTCTTCATGATAAGGAATTTTCTCCCCTTTAGCTGAAAAAGAAAGAAAAAAAAGAATTTTTAAAAAAGAGTAATTGCATTACAAGCAATGGGGAAATTAGCAGGCAGAAATATTCTATGGGTTGATACAGCTTGCTGTCTAGAAATTTTCCCATATATTTATTACAAATATTCTCTTTTTACCTGTTATTTTTTACATGTTCCCCATGTTCACCACAGTAAATTACTCCTCCTTTGTTAGTACCCTGGAGGTACTTGCAGATTGCTCTCATGTTTCTTATTAAGTATTACAAAGGCAAGCAAAGTAGCTCTCTACTTCTTTTAGTCTTCCATCAGACCACAGTTCTTCAAGTTATCCGATACATGAATATTACTCTATTAGTAAAAATCATGATGCCATTTTTGAATGCTTATTTCAGACATGAAGGAAGATAGGTGAAGATGGGATGCACGTCTGCATTAATTTCCTGAGCTCGAAAGAGGGAAGGTAGCAGGACAGGTCATGAGGCTACAGTGGGAGGGAGTTCTTTCCTTAACACAGACATGTAATTGGATGGACTTCATGCTGCTTGATTGGACTTTGAAGGCTTTTTATGCAGTAATCTTTCTTCTTTCCATTGCTGCAATAGAATTTAAGACTTCTGGAAGAGCAACGGTAAAAAGACCCAGTCAGGCTTTCTGTCCTTATACTGCAGTTACATTTCATTATTAATATTCAGAAATTATGACTGAAAAGATTAAAAGATTAAAAAATATATACATAAATATAGAAAACTAATAAATATGCAAAGCTGCAAAATGCATGTTAAATAAGTAGTGTGAGTTAATCTGATAAGCTACTAGTGATATGGCAAACAGGGAGCTAATGATCCCAGTTTGCAAAAATATTTAAGGTAGGATAAATAATATTTAGAGTAAAACTGTACATACACTTTGGTGAAGACAGTAGCTATAAATTTAAAGTATACTAAACTAGCATAATTTCTAATAGAAGCCATGTTACAGGTATAGTTATCTCTAGTAGGTAAGTATTTTTTCCTTCTTTAAATTGACGTATTTCCTCTCAGAGTGAATGTTTTAAAATTTCTGGCTTTAACTTGACAACCTGCAGTATAAAGGGTCAAAAATGTTCTTGTGTCGTTCCCCCACTTCCCCAAAAAGTTTGGTGCTAACGTTTGTTTTCTTTTGAAACCTGGCAAAGGAAATTAGGATTTCTTTCTTTTATTAGATTTGTTTAGAAGAGGCTAACTGAAGAATTTTTTAGTTGTGCAACCAACAAAGTCATAGAATTATTGAATAATACAGGTTTGAAGGGACCTAGGGAGGTTACATAGTCCAACCTCCTGCTCAAAGTCAGGT